GTGGAGGATCGCCGGAGCCCAGCAGGTCGAGGCTGCGGTGGCCGGTAGCGGCCACTGCACTCCAGTCTGGGTGAGAGTGAGACTCCAACTCAAAAAAAAAAAAATATTCTTGGTTAAATTTTTATCATTTCCCTTTTAGATATTAAGAATGAAAATGAAACAATACTGAATTCTGAAGAAGTGGCATCTTTAGAGGAATATATTCCCACTCGACAGACAAGTGTTACTCTCCTCAAATGTACTTGCACAATTTTCATGGCTGAATTCAACTTGCTGGACCATTTGCTACCTGTCATTATGGGAGAAAAGGTATATTTTATTTTAATTTACTACTTCTCCCTTATATATTGATATTTTTTTGTCATTTAAGAAAATAATATCAACAGCCAGGCATGATGGCTCATGAGGTGGGAGGATCACTTGAACTCAGGAGTTCAAGACCAGCTTGGGCAACATAGTGAGATCCTATTAACCAAATGTGGTGACATGTGCCTGTAATCCTCGCTACTTGGGAGGCTGACGTGGGAGAATTGCTTGAGCCCAGGAGATTGAGGATGCAGTGAGCTATGACCATGTTATTATACTCTAGACTTGCCTCTAAAAAAAAAAAAAAGCCCACAAAAAACCAAGAGTATCTGCTTATATAATTATCAGTGATGAAATAAAAGCAATGTAACTCTGAATGTTAATTTTTAAAAAGTAATTTGAAGTATAAATTTATTTTTAATAAAATAAACTTAATCTAAGGGCGTATAAGGAAATGTTGAAGAACATGGGCCTAGAAGTCAGACCATATACTAGTTATGATGCCATAGACAATTACTGTATATCTCTAAGTCTTTTTTCCTTTTCTTAGAAACAAAGAAGTTACACTTTTTCAAGTAGGCTGACAGATTTAGCCTGGGCAATAAGTCCAGGTAAATTCTGATAAGTTTATTACATACATAGATAGCAAAAGCAAAATCAGTAATGGTATTAGCTCCCCATGTCCTTTGTCACATAGGACAGCCTATAACCAAAGGGCCAAATGACTTCCAATAAGCAGGGCACCCTGTTGCAAGGATTCAGTTTCACATTGCAACTAGGCAGTTGTATAGCCTACTGATAGTAAGTGGAAAGCCCCATATATCAGTCTTCCTCACTTGAATGAGGAGTACTGATGAGAAACTGTTTCATAGCAGTCCCACTTAAGGTGGGGAAGATGAAGGAGAAGTGGTCGATGACGGAGAGGTGGTCTTTCAGCAGTTCCTCATGAGATCACCTATTTTCCCCTGTTCTTAGCGTATCATAGGATATTCTACCAAAGCTTAGGCCTGTGGGTGAGCCATGCCTCATAACATGTCATTATGTTCAATGACATTGTCAGGTTGCTGGCACAGACTAGTTCTCCTAAGTATGTAACTCATAGTATTATTTGGACTATTCAATGAGACAATGCATGGAAACCGTTTTACACATATTAGAAACCCAGTTATTACTGCTGTTAATGAGGATGCTTAATATTTAAGGTCTGTATACAGTGTATTGCTTTCTACATTTAGCTTATTTAAGGCCTGATCTATTATTTTAATTTTTTTTTTTTGGTTTCTTTTGATGTCCATGTGATTATTATGATTATAGGAATAGAAGTGTCCTAACTTTAAATAAGGAGGTATAGCAGGAAATTGACTATGATGCATTAGTTTCGTTTTGTATATTTGTTCTCTATTGATCACTCATAATTAAGAATTATATTATGGCTAAGAGGTCATCTAGAGAAAATTTCACTAGGGACAATTAAATTATTTCAGTATTTTTTATCATTTCCATTTTTGCTATCATCTAATTTTTTAGCAGACATTATTTTTTAGAGCAATTTTAAGACCACATCAAAATTGAGTATAAGGTGTAGAGATTTTTCATATATTCCCTGCCTCTTACATATGTATACCTTCCCCATTGTCAACATACCCCAGTGGAGTGTATTACAAGTATTGAACCTGCATTGATGCATCATTAACAACCAAAGTTCGTAGTTTACATTAGTGTTCACTTTTGGTATTTTCATTCTGTAGGTTTTGACAGATGTATAGTGACATGTATCTACCATAACAGTGTCACACAGATTAGTGTCACTGCCGTAAAATCCTCTGCCTATTTATCCTCCCTCTCCCCGACCCTGGCAACCACTAATTTTCTTACTGTCTTTATAGTTTTGCCTTTTCCAGATGTCATATAGTTGAAATCATACAATATGTAGCCTTTCACACTGACTTCTTTCACTTAGTAATACACATTTAAGGTTCTTCAATATCTTTTCATGGCTTGAGAGTTCATTTCTTTTTGGTGCTAATATTTCATTGTGCATGTATCAGTTTATTTATCCATTCACCTACTGAAGGACATCTTTGTGGCTCTCAAGTCTTGTCTGTTATGAATAAAATAGCTATAAACATCTGTGTGTAGGTTTTTTGCTGGATCCGGTGGCTCATGCCTGTAATCCCAGCACTTTGGGAGGTGGAGACAAGGATTGCCTGAGCCCAGGGGTTCCAGACCAGCTTGGGCGACTTGGTGAGACCTCATCTCTACAATAAATAAAAAAATTAGCCAGGCATAGTGGCGCAAGCCTGCAGTTCCATCTTCTTGGGAGGCTGAGGTAGAAGGATCACCTGAGCCCAAAAGATCGAAGGTGCAGTGGCCAAAATTGTGCCACTTCACTCCAGCCTGGGCGACAGAGTGAGATTCCAACTCAAAAAAAAAAAAAAAAAAATTCTGTGTGCAGGCTTTTGTGTGGACATGTGTTTACTTCCATTGGGTAGATACCAAAGAGTGCAATTGCTGGATTGTACACTAAGAATATGTTTAGTTTTGTAAGAAACTGCCAAATTGTCTTTCAAAATAGATTGATTTTCCATTTCCATTACCTGCAAATGAGTCTTCCTGTTGCTCCATGTCCCTTCCACATTTCATGATGTCAGTGCTTTGGTTCTTCACCATTCTGGTAGATGTGTAGTGGTATCTTACTGTTTTAATTTTCATTTCCCTGATGACATATTGATGTGGAACATCTTTTCATATGCTTCTTTGCCTTCTGTATATCTTCTTTGGTGAGGTGTCTCTTTAGACCTGTTGCCCATTTTTTAATAGGGTTATTTGTTTTCTTAATATTGAATTTTAAGGAATAAGTCCATTTCATTCACATTGTCAAATTTGTGGGCATAGAGTTGTTTATAGTGTGTATTATCATTTTAGTGTCCATGGGATTTGTAGTTATGTTCTTCTTTCATTTCTGATATTAATAAGTTGTATTCTTTTGCCTTTTTTTTTCTGAGCCTGGCTAAAGACGTCCCAATTTTTATTGTTTTGCTGCTTTTATTTACTAGTTTTCTGTTTTCAATATCACAGAGTTCTATTTTAATTTTAATTATTTCTTTTCTTCTGTTTATTTTGGATTCAATTTTTTCTTTTTTTTTCTGATTTTCTAAGTTGTAAGCTTAGGTAATTGATTTTAGATTTTCCTCTTTCTAATATATGTACTCAGTGCTCTCAACTTTCCTCCAAGTACTGTTTTCACTTTATTCCACAAATTTTGATGTTATGTTTTCATTTTAATTTAATTCAAATAATTTTTAATTTATCTTGCAATTTTTTTTGACCTGTGTGTTATTTTAAAGTATGTTGTTTTATCTTCAAGTATTTTGTGATTTTCAGCTATGTTTCTGCTACTGATTTCTAGTTTAATTCCATTTTATTTTAATTTTGTTTAGGTGTACTTTATGGCTTAGATTGTGGTCTATCTTGGTGAATGTTTTATGTAAGCTTTAGAAGAATGTTTATTCTGCTGTCACTGGATGAAGCAGTCCATTGATGGCCATTACTTCCAGTTGATTGATAGTATTACATTCAATTATATCCTTACTGATTTTCTGTTTGCTGGATCTGTTTATTTCTGATGGATGATTCCACTATTTTAGCTAGAGACCTCAACATCCTTCTATATTTTTCTTGAAGTTCTATTTTTGCTTCATGTATTTTGACACTATTTTTGGCATGTTAAAGATTGTTATATCTTCTTACAGAATTAACTCTTATATCACTACTTAATACCCTCTTTATCCCTGATAACTTTCCTTGATCTGATTTCTGCTCTGCCTGAAATTAACATAGCTGCTCTTACTTTCTTTTGTTTTCTTATGTTTCTTTTATTTTAGTATGGTATATATTTCTGTTTTCTTTTAATCTATATGTCTTATTTAAAGTGGGTTTCTTATAGACAACATATAGTTGAATCTTGCTTCTTGATTGACTCTTATAATATCTGTCTTTTAATTAGTGCATTTAGACCATTGGAGTAAAGTGATTATCGAAATGTTTGAGCTAATATCAACCATATTTATTACTGTTTTTTACTAGTTAACCTTGTTCTTTGTTCCTGTTTTTCACTCTTTGCCTCTTGTGGTTTCACTTGAGCACTTTTTATGATTCTGTTTTCTATTTTCTGTCCTCTATAGGCATATTTCTTATACTTATTTTTTTGGTTTTTGAGGCAGTCATGCTCTTTCACCCAGGTTGGACTGCTGTGGCTAGATCCCACCTTGCTATAGCCTCACCTCCTGGGCAGTCTTTCCACCTGAGGCTCCCAAGCAACTGGGCCTCAGGCGTGTGCCACCATACCTGGCTAACTTTTTTTATTTTTATAGAGATGAAGTCTCACTATGTTGTCCAGGCTAGTCTTGAACTCTTGGGTACAAGTGGATTCTCCTGCCACAGCCTCCCAAAGTGCTGGGATTGTAGGCATGAGCAACTGTGCCCTGCCTATACGTTTTTTCTTCCTTTTTTTTAGTATTTGCCCAAGAGTTTACATTTTATGTTTACAACTAATTCAAGTATACTTTCAGATGATGCTGCATCACTTTACAGGTAGGATGAGTTTCTTCCTTTTTTTAGTTTTAAAGATGTGGGGTACAAGTCAGGATTAGGTACATAACTGGTCTATATACAGGTGACATTAGGGCCTCCCATTGGTCCTCCCTTCACCTGGTTTGGGATCAGGTACCCTTATTAATGTTATGTGCCTCTCCCCAACCCCCCCCAGTACCCACCCCCCACAGTGTCCTGCTACTGCCAGTCCCTTTCTTGTATTATGATAAATGTTCAGGGTCCACTTATGAGTGAGAACATATGGTACTCAATTCTTTGTTTCTGTGATAGATCATTGAGTATAGATAGATTCTAAATCTATTCAAGTTTCTGTGAAGTCCACAATCTTGTCCTTATTTATGGCTGTATAATAATATTCCATTGTGTATATGAACCCCATTTTTAAAAATCCAGTTCACTTTTGATGGTCAGCATGGTTGGTCCCACATTTTTGCTATTGTGAATAGTGCTGTAATTAACATGCATGCATTTTGTAGAATGATTTGAGTTTCTCCAGGTATATTCCCAGAGGGTTATTGTTGGGTTGTATGGAAGGTCAATTTCTAGATCTTTTAGAAGTCGCCAAACTGTTTTCCACAGAGGTTATACTAGTTTACACTCCCAATAGTGTAGAAGCATAGGGTGAGTTTCTCGTAATAAAAATTTATTAATTTTGCCCTCCTGTCCCTTGTTTTATTGCTGTGGTTCATTTCTCATATATATGAACATGTATATATACATAAGCATATTGATTTAATGCATTGTTATTATTTTGAATAAATTTATGTGTTAGACCAATTAAGAATAAGATAAATTAAAAGTTTTTTATTTTACCTTCACTTATTCCTTCTTGGATATTCTTTGTTTCTTTATGTTGATATGAAATTCTGACCTTGACCATTTTCCTTCTCTCTAAATAATTTAACACTTCTAGTAAGGCAAGTCTGCTGGCAACAAATTGTCTCATTTTTGTTTGACTGAGAAAATTTTTTTTTCTCCTTCACTTTTGAAAGTTAATTGAATGAGACACAATTCTAGGGTGGTGGGTTTTTTTCCCTCTCAATATTTTGAATATTTCGTTTTACTCTCTTCTTGCTCGAATGGTCTTTGAGTGATGTAATTCGTGTCATTGTTCCTTTACAGGCAAGGTATATTTTTCCTGTGGCTTTTTTCAGAACTTTTATTTTCTGTAGGTTGCAAATGATATGCCTAAGTATAGATTTTGTTGTCCCCCCCCCACATTTATATTACATGGTGTTTCCTCAGCTTCTTAGGTGTATGGTTTAGTGTCTGACATTAATTTGGGGATGCTCTCTATCATTATTGTTTCAGATATTTCTTCTGTTCCTTTCTGTCTTTCCTCTCCTTCCAGAATTCTGATTATGTGTATGTTATATCTTTTGTAGTTGTCCCACAGTTAGCAAATATTCTGGGTTTTTTTTAGTTTTTGTGTTTTTACTGAGATATCCTCAAGCTCAGAGTTTCTTTTGTTAGCCATGTTGTCTTCCAGTATACCCACTGAAGGAAAAAATACTAGTGAGGAGGCCTCACTGAGAGGTCAGCTCCTAAATCTGCACAAAATCTTTAGATTGTTGGCTAATTCCTAATCTACCCATGTGCAATGCAAGACTTCAGAAAACCCAGTAGGAAATAGGCTAAAGAGCACAGTAGAAATTTCTCTAACTACATATTGCTAAATATCAAGAATTAGAGTTCAGGCCCTGAGGCTTTTCTTTGAGATCTTATAATAATCACATCCTAGGGATATGCACAGTATTTTTCCTTCCTGTTTTACTTATTAAGTGTATTTTTGACTCTGTGTCGTTTAGTCCGAGTTCCTTCATCACCTAAATATGAATAAAGAGGGGAAAAAAGATGGCTGACTCGGATATCTAGAAAATATTTTGGCATGATTGAGCTTTAAAAAGTATCTTCGGGCTGGGCTCGGTGGCTCATAATATAATACCAGCACTTTGGGAGTCCAAGGCAAGTGGATTGGTTGTACCCACAGGTTTGAGACCAGCCTGAGCAACTTGGTGAGCCCTCTTCTCTACAATAAATCAAAAATTAGCTAGGCGTGGTAGCATGCGCCTGTAGTTCTGGCTACTTGGAAGTCTGAGGTGAAAGAATCGCTGGAGCCCAGCAGGTCGACGCTGGGGTGGCTGTAAGTGTGCCACTGCATTCCAGCCTGGGCAATGGAGTGAGACTCTGACTGAAAAAAAAAAAAAAAGAAATGCCTTCATCATACTAAGACATGTAGGGATACTGTTCTAGTTGACTGAAAAAGTAAAAAGCTCTAGCTAGAAGGGAAGTTTGCAAAAAATATGCATTTTTTGAAATCTGGGAGATACTTAAAGTATATAAGATGATAATATTTGGTTATGGCAAGAGAGTTCTGTAGAAAGGTATCATGTCTAGATTGATTTGATATCACTGTAAACTGCAGGTTGGAAGCTTGTACAGAGGAAATTTTGCAACTCAGTTACTGCTCTGCTCCTAAAATATAAAGTGAACACTGTTGTTTTCCAGAACTCCAGTAACTTCATGAATACTGCAAACTTTCAGTCTCTTCGGCCTTTGCCCTCCATTCAGATATTGGTGGATAAAATTAATCTGGAACATTCCGTGCCAATGTATGCTGAACAGTTGGTGCATGTGGTCAGCAGCCTTACTCAGCCTTCTGATAATCTGCTACATTATTGCTATGTACACTGCTACCTTAAGGTATGAAAAGTGAATTTTCTTGTTTATTAGTATTTGGCTTTGAGATCATCAAATAAGTTTCTTTTTCTTTTTGAATTGTAATTTCAAAGAATTAGTATTCCAAAAGGTATGGTATAAGATAGATTGATTCATTATTCCTGTATAATTAAAATAAATAATATAAAATATACTTATTTTAAAGCTTTTTCTTCAATAATTTAAGATTAGTAGTTTGATATTTATAAGTGAATGGCAGTTATAACTTTTGAAGATTTTATGTATTATGTGTTAAAGATTACTTAGGGTAATATGGTTGCTTTAAAAGACTCATGATTTCCCTGAAGGAAACATTTTTGTGAGGTATAATGTTCTATAAACAGAGTTTAACGTTTGTTTTTATTGAATTCATGTTAATTTCTTGATACAAATTGAAAACCTCTTTTATTATTTTAATTACATGTATATGCTGATAACATTTTATTATACGTTATTCATTGTGCTTCACATATATTGTGTATTTTTTTTTTTTTTTTCTACAAATTGAAGGTTTATGGCAACTCAGTGCCAAACAAGGTTATTGGCACCATTTTTTTCAGCGGCACGTGTTTGCTTTGTATCTCTGTGTCACATTTTGGTAATTCTCCCAATATTTCAAAAATTTTCTTTATTATGATATCTGTTATAGTGATCTTAAACAATGATCTTTGATGTTTCTGTTGTAACTGTTTTGGGGTACCATGAACCACACCCCTCTAAGATAGTGAACTTAGTTGGTAAATGTTGTGTGTGTTCTGACTACACTATTGAATGGCTGTTCCTCCATCTCTTTCCCTTTTTTGGGTCACCCTATTCTCTGATACTCAGTAATACTGAAATTAAACCAATTAATAATCCTGCAATGGCTTCTGTAAGTTCAAGTGAAAAAATGTCTTTCACTTTAAATCAAAAGCTAGAAATGATGATCCTGAAAGGATTCACTTTTCCAGATGCCATTAAGAAGATTTGTGATTCATGAGAGGACATAAAAATAACCGTTAACTTTATTGAATTCGGAAGAAGTTGATTCCAACCCTCACAGATCACTTTGAGGGGTTCAAGACTTCAGTGGAGACAGTAATTGCAGATATAATGGATAACTAAAATTAGAAGAGGAGCCTGAATATATGACTGAATTGCTACAATCTCATGCTAAAAGTGAACGATTGAGGAGTTGCTTTTTACAGATGAGCAAAGAAAATAATTTCTTCTCAGGGTTAGGTATACAAATGTTCATTATGCAGGTCCCTTGTTGATGAGGTGTGCCCCCCCTTCCCCAGTCTGTTCCAGGTGAAGATGCAGGAGCATTGTTAAAATGACAACAAAATATTTGGAATATTCCATAAACTTAGTTGATAAAGCATCAGTAGGGTTTGAGAGGATTGACTCCAATACTACAGCTACCCCTACCTTCAGCAACTACCACACTGATTTGTTAATAGTTATCAGCATTGAGACAATACCCTCCGCCAGCAAAAAGCTTTTGACTTATTGAAGGCTGAAATGGTTGCTAGCATTTCTTTTTAGCAGTACACTGTTATGTTATGTTTTGTTTTGTTTTGAGTTGGTGTATCATTCTGTTGCCCCAGGATGGAGTGTAGTGGCATGCTTAGGGCTACTGCAGCCTTGGCCTGATGGGCTCAGGTGATCCTTCTGCCTCAGCTTTCCAAGTAGTTGGAACTACAGGTGCATGCCACCACACCTGGCTACTGTTAAAAAATTTATTGTAGAGATGAGGTCTTGCCAAGTTGTCTAGGCTGGTCTCAAACCCCTGGACTCAGGCAATCCTCTTGCCTGTGCCTCCCATAGTGCTGGGTTTATAGGCGTGAGCCACTGTGCCCGATGAATAAAGTGCTTTTTGCTTAAGGTATGTACATTGATCATGTCTTTAGACATCATGTTATCGTGCACTTAATGAACTGCAGTATAATGAAAACATAACACTGGAAAATCAAAACATTCCAATGATTCATCTTATGGAATATGTGTATATTGTGGTAGCTTAGAACTGAACCTGCAATATCTCTGAGGTATACCTATATAGTTATGTAAAGTGAATTATAGGAACCTTTCCCCAGCTCTTCTATTTTTTAAAAAAAGTAATGCGTTTCAGTACAGGAATTTTCAATCAATAATCTCAAATGTTGAGTATTAAATGTTTTTGCTAAGCAGAGATGTGTAGTTGAAGTAGAGACAGCATATACCCAATCAAATTCTGTTTTATGAACAAAAGTAAAGCATAAAAAGTAGAATTGAAGTATAACTACTAAAAAAGAACTAAATTTAATGCAATGTGTTAAAAAAAATTAGAGGACTTCACAAGTAGGCTCCTGACCCTATCTACTTTATAGTTTGGTGTGCTAAAGTTCTTAAGTATATATATGTATAATTGTAAATAAAAATAAACCTATTTAGTAATACCAGATTAGATCACCTGCAGGTGTATATAAGTTTAAGGTATTAAAAATTGACTGTTTTTAAACAAACAGAATAGAAGTACTTATTTTCATTGTCTTTACAAAGCCCTTTTTCTTTTTTTCTTTTTTTACTTTTACTTTTTTTATTTTAAAGTAGTGTGTAGGATTTGGCCTATGGACTGTAGTTTGCTTTTGCCCTGTGTTTTTTTCTAAGACAATTATTGTTTAGGAATTAGCTTAATCAAGGAGATAAAAGCCATCTACAATGAGAGCCAGAAAACACTGCTGAAAGAAATTAAGTCATAAATATATGGAAACACATCTCATGTTTGTGAAATGGAAGACTTAATATTGTGAAAATGAATATACCTACCAAAGCAGTCTACAGATTCAGTGTAATCCCTATGAAAATCCCAATGATTTATTTTTTAGAAATATATAAATTTATTCTAAAACTCATGGACTCTCAAGGAACCCTGAATAGCCAAAAATCTCTCACAAAAGAAGAATAGATCTGGAAGATTCATTCTTCCTGATTTCAAAACTTAGCACAAGGGTACTGTAATCAAAACAGTGTGTTACTGGCATAAAAATAGACATAGACCGGTGGAATAGGATAGAGAGCCCAGAAATATACCCTTGTATACTTGGTCAAATGATACTTGACAATTGTAAAGACTATTCAGTGGGAAAGGACATTCTTATTAGCAAATGGTACCTGGAGAACTGGATAACCACATACAAAAGAATCAAGTGAGTTCCTTACCTAATGTCACCAAAACCCCCCCCCAAAACAAACAAAAACACAAGCAAACAAAAAACTCAAAATGGATCAGAGACCTAAATATAAGACCTAAAATTTTCTTTTTTTTAATCTGAATGATAATTTTTTTGTTGTATGGATTCAGTACAATTTATTCATTTCTCTGTTGATAGACATGGGGTTGTTTCCATTTTTAGCTTTTGTGAACAATATAACTATCAACATTCACGTTTAAGTTTTATGTGAACATAGGTTTTTATTTCTCTTGGGTGTAGAATTATATATACCCAGGTATAGAATTGACTGATCATATGGTAACTGAATTTTTAATATTTTTAGGAATTGCCAAACTTTTCATTAAAGGTATTATTCTATTTTATTATTTTGCCACAAATAAGTAAGGGTTCCTGTTTCTCCATATTCTTACTAACACCTGTATTGGCTATCTTTTTGATTTAGCAATGGTGGTTGTAAAGTGGTATCTCACGGCAGTTTTTATTTGTATTTATATAATAACTAATGATGTTAAGCATTTTTTTTTCCATGTGCTTTATTGTATTTTGGTCGTTTGTATTTCTTCTTTGGATAATATTCAAATCTTTTACTCATTTAAAAATTGGGTTAAGTTGCTAGCATTCTTTATGAATTTGGAACTGTTTTATTTATTGAACAATGTAGGTGACAGCATGACAATATTCATATTTTAAAAATTTTTGGTAGTGAAAAAAATCACTTATTGTTATATTTTTATTTGATTAAATTGTTGTGAGAAAAAATCAGGAGAAAATACTTCTTAATTTTTCTCCGTACCAAAAAAAAACAACCCCTACATAAGTACAGTATCAGTTTTATCCACAGTTTTCTTTTATTTCGGATACATAAACAGAAACTAGGTTGGGAGTTTAAGAAGTGAGTAGGTGATAAAAACATTGTAGCAAGCTCCAGGTTATTCATTGAAGACATTTGTTGATGAAAGGAGAGAAATGTAATTTTACTGATGGTTGAATAGGGGAGATGGTGATAGGAAAGATTGTTTATTTTTCTTTAAGGGTAAGTGGAGAATCAATTATTCCTTTTTAGGAGAGGAAAAGGAGGAAATGGAAGGAGGAAGGAAGATTGGGTAAAATTGTGAGCTAATAGATGAGCTAAAACTAATGAAGCATCATATTGCTGTTCCAGCAATATGTAATTTTGAAGATATCCCTAATCCTTTTTGGACTTCATTTTTCTCATCTGTAAAATGAGATGATTGAGTTAAATAATTTCGAAGCAGTTTGAGCTCTAAAATTCTGTGGTTAAAAAAAAAAAAAAATCTGCGGTTATTTCTGATTCTGTCCTTTTCCCCTGAAGACTTTTTCTTTGTAAGATGTTCATTTATTTGTAAGAGGCTGTACAATTGTAGTTATAATCCTTTTTTCTTTGGTTTTTATATGTTTCTTTGTATTACTGTATACAAATTATTTTTTGACATGAAGGTAATGCTTATTTTTCCCTTGAATGAAGGGACAAATCTTTAGGAAGCTGGTTATAATATTGTGTTTTTTGTAATGGCAACATTATAAAAGTGATTTGTTTTGTACCGCAATTATTGTGTATTTTTATTTTCATTTGCTATTAGTGTGTACTTTAAAAACTTAATTTATCATATTAGTTTTGGGTAAAAAACTAATAGAAGCAAGTAGCTTTATAATATTTCTAAATCTATTACAGTTTCTTCTGTTGACATATTAATTCAAAAACATGTGTTGTAAAATGTAAAATACTAATAGTGTATTATTTTTATCATTTTCTAGTAGGAATTTTTTTAAAAGGTGGCAGTACCTTTAGCTTTTCATATAACGATGTTTAAGTTCTTTTATTCAGATTTACGATCTCCTTTAGCTAAGATTTCTGTTGGTAGTTTACACTTAGTGCTTCATACCTTTTTACTGCTTCAGACTATTAGTATGCAGTATTCAGCTCTTTTTTTCCTTTTCTGAATATGTAAACTATCCTTTGTGAAAGCAACTTAAATTTATACTGTGCTAGTTCTTGTTTTTCCAGAGTTTTTATAATCTTTGTCCAGTGATGTTGACAACTTGTTAGGTTATATAGATATTATAAATCTATGTATCTAATTGCTGTAATTTAGAAGGGAGCTTAAAAAATTTATTTTGAAATAGTTATTTTTGATTTGATCAATAATAGGAAGCACAATATGACTCTAATAATAATTTGACAAAATATAATAGGTGTTTTCTTTGTCTAGAAGGCACTCTTTCATTGTAGTTTTTACCTGTTTGAATCTTTCCATAGAAGCATTTCTATACAACATAGAAATATAATAAAAACTTAAAAAATATAGTATGATTTATACTATAATTTATTTCAATATTATTTATTTTATGTAGTAAGCAGTTTCCCTAAAGTTCTTTGCAATTCTGCAAACAACCAGCAGGGGATCTCCTCTACACCCAGTTTCCTTCTGAGTACAGTTAATGGTAGTGTATCTGATTATACATTTGGGGCATTTAATGGAAAATTAGAAAGTGACTTTGAGAGAGTTTAATATGTTATCACAGCTGAACATAGATAATGTGATGTGATAAAAGGTTAACTTTATAACTCTAGAAATATTTAGAGATTGGACATTGTTTTAATAATTGTTTTGTATTAAGTCACACTAAAAATTGTAAATTTCAGAATCTTGAATACTAGGCCTTTATGAGAAAATATGAAATGCTGAAATTTTCTAGTGCCCAGAATGTTCTTTGCACACGTTGCTCAGAATAGTTCTTCAATAAAGAATGAATGTGAAATACCTTACTTTTTAACTTGGGATTTAAGTAATCATTTCAGTGTTAGAAGCATGCCTTTTTCTTTTTCTTCTCAATTATGTACTTCTTGTCAGTTGGCTATTAGTAGGTTATAGGAACTGATGAATGCATCACTTTTATCTTCCTTGATAGTAAGTAGATAAGTAAGTCCGTTGATACGCAATTTTCACTGAAAATTCTCAATAATGTCTTATTTTTAAAACATTTTGGTCATTGAAAACTGATTTTAGAAAAAAAGAATTGAACTCTGTCAGTTTGAGTTTTTTAAACCATTTGTAAGTAATTTAATACTTTTAAAGAAATGTATCATTATTTTATGCTCATTAAATAGTATTTTGTTTTGAGAATTAGTTAAGAAATTGCAGATATATTTCAGTGTAGAACTTAACAGTCTTAGAGATATGGAAGTCTTTATAATGCTTTGTAATCACAAGGAATAAAAAATAATAATTAAAGATAAATGTTGGGTTTAAGCTGCTTTTGCATGTTATTGGAAAATAATAACTCTTTGTTTTATATCCCTGTGTGCTATTATTGCCGTTGTGAGATGTTTATCTTTTTATGTACTAGAAATAATTGGACAGTTATATTATCAGTTCTCTGCAATGTTTTACATAAAGTGTGGTGTTATATTGTTTCTGTTAAGACAAATTTAGTATCCAGGAATTTAATATTTTTAATTTAAATGTAAACATATGAAGAGTAATTTACACCATGTACCATATTTCCTGGGGTATAAAATCTCAGTCCTACAATTACTTTTCACAAAATAACAGAGAACGAAGTAACATTTTAAGGTTTTTTGATTACTTTTTTGCGTGTGCATGATGCAAGTTGAAGGCACAATATATTTTTAAGATTGCTCTTGTTAATGTCCTTTTAGTCATAAAATATTAGCACAAATTTATTAAATTTATAATTTTCAATGTAGAAAATGCCCTCGGCTGTTTACATTTATGGAAAAATACATACATTTTATCAGATAAAACAATGCTTGAGAATTATATACAGAAATTGTGAGATGTAAAAAAATTAGTAAAAAAAAGAACAGTGATCTTTCAGGGATTTGGAATAAATAGCATATATTTAAATCTCTTAATTTTAACTTACTGTCAAATTGAATAAAAGAAAATGTTGATCGTTTTGGAAGTGGAAAAAGACTTTGGAACATATTTCATGTGCAGCTGTTATACAGCAAATTGAAACTGACGTATTTCATCCTGTGCTTATTAAAACTTTGTGTGAACACTTGGATCTTTTTCTTTTTTGTTTTAGATATTTGGTTTCCAGGCAGGACTGACATCGTTGGATTGTAGTGGATCTTACTGCTTACCTGTACCGATTATTCCCTCTTTTAGCACTGCTCTTTATGGTAAACTTTTGAAACTTCCTACATGCTGGTAAGTCTCAACTGTTAAAATGTGGTTTCTTTTCATTTATTAACTTAGTGGGGAGTAAAACCAAATGTATCTGCTTTATGCTCATATTCTAGTTTTATATAAAACCATAGAAAAATATCTGAAGTTGTACTGTTTTTTATTGACACATCAAAAATCTCTTTTAAATGTCTGAAGTCTGTTAGTTCATAGTATCTTTTGTGATGGTAATAACTGTTGTTGGAGTAATGACTATTAATTCAAGTTAGAGGTATTTAAATTTTGCTGGTTCGGATACGAATAGGAACTACAAGGGCAAGTGCCTTTTATTGACAGAGAATATAAAGATTTTTTTAAAATTGTAAATTAATATCAAGGACAAAATATTTATTGAATAAAAATTTATTGTATATTCTTAACCACTGACAAAGGTAAACCCACTACATAGATTTAGAATGTACTTAACATGTCTAGTAGTTGCATTTTGGAAGAAAATGATTTTAGTCCTTTTCATTTTCACTCAGGATTTGGTAGCTTTATTTGGGGATCACGTTTTCTTAAGTTCAAAGAGAGTTAAAGAAAGAAAGCCAGTAGTTAGTAATCATGCATTTTTTGTTGAAAGGAATGCTTTTAATATAGTCAAGAAATAATTTTTAAATATATAAAACAATGTTTAAATATGTGAAATATTTTGGTGAAATTTCTGCAACTAAAAAATAGAATTATTTTAATTATTTGGAATATATCTTTTGCATTCTTATCCTAATTAGTAAGCTTATTCATGCAAGATAATTTTTCCATTAGTTTTTTATTAACAGTGATACCACTTTCAGAAAATTGATATTCATTTACTCATCTAAAATGCTTCAACTGTTAAAAGTTTGTTCCTTTATTAATGTATAACTTTTTTTTTTTTGAGTTGGAGCCTCACTCTTTGTCGCCCAGGCTGGAGTGCAGTGGCATGCTCACTGCCACTGCAGCCTTGACCTGGTGGGCTTAGGCGAGCCTTCCACCTCAGCCTTCCATATTAATGTATAACTTTTAAAGTGAAATTAGTAAAGTAATGTTCACATTTTAGAGAAAATTTGCCTGTTAATCTAGAAAATTAAGAAAAATTTTTTAGTTAAGACTTGGTAACAATTCTTCTATAAAATGAAACCATTATTAAATTATTATTCTTAATTTCTCTTGATACATTTAATTTTCCCTTTACCTATCTCTGTTATGCAAATGTCATTTATTATGTTATAGAGAGGTGAATTTAAGTTTTTATTTGCATACATACATGTTACATTTGAGACAATTTTTTTATTCTAATCTATTAAGAAATTATGACATATGTCACAATTTTAATAGGTATTTGTGAAAACTACTATCTCAGTTATATTCTGATTTATTCATTATTTCTAAGACTAGAATAATTTTATTATGAACAGTACCATGTGAAAAATTCTTAATTTCTATAAAAAACCCCAGATTTTCAAGATGTTGTATCAGTTTTATATAAAATGAGTGGACTATTTAAGGCTTATTTTAAAGATATGCAGACAGAGCTCACTAGGAATATTGTTAAAAATGATTTAAAGTATGTCTGCCGACATCCAAAAGAAAATATAACAATTAAATACTGAAAGTATGATATCACAAAATGTTAATATTTTTTGGATGCATTTTGTTTTTATAAATAAGACTGCATCTCTATTATTTCAGTAAAATTTTTGCTATACTTTATAGAAGAACATTTATTTGAAATAGTTTCTTGAAATTATTTTTCTTAATAAACGGAAAGTAAAATATCTTTAATATAATTACTCTGAGCAATTTGAATTTGAAAATAATAAAAACTTAGTAAGTTGAGATATTGCTTAGTTAATTGTAGCTTGAAGTCAATAAAATACTAGATAAAGCAGGTAGTGATTGAATTAAGTCAAAATCAGTGTGAAGACTGAGAGTTTTGTTTAACTCATGCAGTGAGTTAGGATTATTTTAGTAAGGCATCCTGGTTGTGTCATTAAATGTCAACTCTGTTCCCACTCATAATTTTTTCCTTCTTCAAATTATCCAAGCTGTTTTCTTTGGATTTTACAGTTTCACATTTCAGAGCTTTTAAAGGCACACATATGATGCTATGTATATTTCAAACAATAAGAAGAACATCTTTACTACAAGCCACAACTTTTGAAACAAGGCATTTTACATAGGCTATTGCAAAAAAATTTTAGTATGTTTGAGTTAGTAATTTATATAGATTCATGTAGACTTTATGTAAATCAGTAAAATAGTTTATACTTTCTATTTAAAATTATTTCTAAATTGAACTGCTAATTGTATATAAAGTTTTAACCTGATACATTTTCCTTAATCAGGTTTGCCAATTCTTTCAAGTATATTTTTTAAATTTAATTTTAGAGTTGTGGGGTACATATGAGGATTTGCTCTATAAGTAAAATATGTGCAGTTGAAGTTTGGGCTTCTAGCAAGCCCTCTGTCCCCTTAGTGGTGGACCTGGGACCCAATGGGTGGTTGTGCGCCTCTTATCCCTCCTCCCTCCTTCCCCTACCTCTAACATTGTCTGGCCAGTGTCATTTGTTCCTGGCTTTGTGCTCGAGTGAAAATATATGGTTTATGTAACACTAAATATGTATTTTCCTCTCATTTAAATTTTCTATTAATATATTTTACCTCCAATGAGCCAAATATCACTAAAATGTTTTAGAACTTAGTTAAATTTTTTTGGTTATATATTTAATTCTCTACCATATAGGTATCAAACATAAAAATAAACTTTTCAAACAACTGTATTTGCTCACTGTTTACATCAAATTAACATTAATTCTGTTAGTCCCATAAAATGACAAATCTATCATGAAAAGTTAAAATTTGTCAAAACTTATGCATGTCAAAACTTACAGACCATACATTGCACAATTTGTATCTGAGGGAAATATAAAAAAAGGTAAAGATGCAATATTAAATTATTGCCTGCATAAAATTAACTGTAGTACATACTGCATAACTGTAATAATTTTGTATCTACTTCCTGTTGCTATTGCTGTGAGTACGTGGTTCAAGTATCTGCTTAAAATGCTGTGTGATATGCGTTATCTCCACGTGATCAGTTTGTCCAGTAAATTATCACAGTAAAAAGTGATCTAGGCCAGGTGTGGTGACTCACACCTGCAATCCCAGCACATTGGGTGGCCGAGGCAAGAGGATTGCTTGAGCCAAGGAGCTCAAGACCAGCCTGGACAGCATGATGAGACCTCATCTTTACACAAAAAATAAAACAATTCGCTGGGTGTGGTGGCTGATGCCTGTAATGCCAGCATTTTGGGAGCCTGAGGTAAGAGGATTGCTTGAGGCTGGAAGTTTTAGACCAGCCTAGGCAATTTAGTGAGACTTCCATCTCTACAAAAAATAAAAGTAAACATTAACCAGCTGTGGTGGTGTGTATCTGTAGTCCCAGCTACTCGGAAGGCTGAGGCAGAAGGATTGCTTGAGCGCTGAAAGTTGAGGCTGTGGTGAGCTGTGATGGTCCACTGTACTCCAGCCTGGGCAACAGAGTGAGATCTTGACTCAAAAAAAAAAGATCTTTCATGGTTCTGACATACTTGTTATTGTATTTAGTGCAACACTGTAACCTTGAATAACACCTCAGGATTCATACCAAGTGCTACTAGCAGTGCTGGAAGTACTCCTAAGAAGCAGAGAAAAGTTGACAGAAGAAAAGCTCTCTGGGCACAGTGGCTCAAGCCTGTATTCCCAGCACTTTGAGAGGTTGAGGTGAGAGGATTGCCTGAGCTTTTGGGTTTGAGATCAGCCTGGGCAACATGGTGAGACTTCATCTCTGCAATAAATCAAAAAATTAGCTGATGTGGTAGTGTGCACCTGTAATTCTGGCTACTTGGAAGGCTGAGGTGGAAGGATTGCTGGAGCCCAGCAGGTCAAGGCTGCAGTGACCAGGAGCGTGCCACTGCATTCCAGCCTGGGTGACAGAGTGGCACTCCAATTCAAGAAAAGAAAAGAAAAGAAAAAGTTGAGTTGTTTGATATTTGTGGTATTGAGGCCAGCAGCTGCAGTTGCCCATATTTCAAGATATATGAATTCATTGTAAGGACCATTGTAAAATAAAAAAAGGAAATTTGTAAAGCCATTGCTGAAGCTCTGCCAGCAAGTGAGAAAATTTTGCATTTTTTGTAAAATATTTTTTTACCTTGTATTGAAAATGCAGCTTTTATGTGGGTTCAGGGTTACTATAAGAAAGAGATATCTATAGACTCTAATATGATTTCAGAAAAAGTAAACTTGTTATATGACAGCTTAAAGTAGCAGGAGTGAAGGAACCATAGCTGGAAAATTTAAAGACAGCAAAGGATGGTTTGCTAATTTTAGAAACAGATTTGGCTTAAAAAACGTCAGGATAACCGACACAACAGCTTCTAACAGCTTCTGCTGATCAAATAGCACCAGATCAATTTCCCAGATGCCATTAAGAAAATCATTGAGAAAGAATAGTGCCTGAACAGGGTTTAAATGTGGGAAAAGTGCCGTATTCTGAGAAGAAAAAAGTCACAAAAGACACTTATTAGTAAGAAAGAAATAAGTTCTTCCAAACCAGTGCTAGATGACGAGAAGGACAACATGAAAAACAAATTGACATTAGACAGTGTGGCAGGAGGGTTCCAATTATTCAAGACTGTTCAAGACTATTCAAATTGACATTAGACAAATTGACAATGTGGCAAGAGGGTTCCAATTATTCAAGACTACTTTTGACTTATTTTACAACACGAACCTGTGATACAGGCACTGAAAGGAAACCAAATGGTGGAAGAAGGATTGGTACTGTATAGAAACATTTTTAGAGAAATGAAAAAGCAAAAATGTCAGGCAAATTACCATGTATTTTTTGTAAAGTTACACTGAGTGTGCTTGCCTCTCTTGAATCCCCTTCCATCTTCTCCATCTCTTCCACCCTTGCCATTCCTGAGACAGCAGCAGGACCACCCTCTCCTTTTCTTTCT